CTGAGTAATAGCACCAGAAACGAGACACGTGACTGGTTCATTCTCACTGACACATAAACCTGGATAAACACACAACATCAGAAAACTCTTCATTCATATCAAAACTGAATAGTCCTGCCAAATTGTGCTTTATTAAGCTTCACACCACTTCTACATTAAACGGCAACATGTTTTTTTTCCACTCAGTTCTCTTTTTCCCTCTCTCACCATCTGTTAAATCATGGGGGAAAGGGGGAAAAGTTGGGAATTAACAAGTTTCCACATGTTGCAGGTGAAAGTGGCACAATTTTTAATTATACCTGGACTCCACTAATTCCAAATACTTAATATAACAAATGGCAAATCAGCTCCTGGCTGCTCCCTGGATAATTGGGACTTGCTGTACTCAGAGTTTCTTTACCGTCTGCTACATTAATTAACGCTGCAATGAACCCAGCCACAATATGTTCTGTATTTGTTCAAATTGATTCCCCTGGTAGCGTCTGTGAAAGGTGGGAAAGCACAGGACGGTGAGGCTCCAACCTGAGCTTCATTAGTTCAGCTCACAACCCACTCGGCCTGCCACTGCTTCCATTGAGCTCTGTGGCTTACATATATGTTTGAGCTGGGTAGTATAGAGCAAGCTGCGCTTTCCCGACCAGATTAAGTGGCAGAGCTAATGTCCTGGTAAAAGAGATGCGATTTGGATTAGGATCTGTTACTTTTGCTTTCCAGGACAAAGATATACACATAAAGTGTAACCTAAGAGGTTTATGTTAGTGATATATCGTGTCTTTTCAATATGTGTCCATCCAGTGAGATTCTATAATGAATTTCGTGCAGAGTGGTGTATTAAGTCAGGCCTTATGGAAGCAAATTAAAAGCCACAATGCATGCTAATCTTAATATCTGAATATAATGTGCTTCCCTTTCGAGATTGCTGTCAGCAGGTGGGCAACAATATCATCAGATTTATTCGTGGAGTATCAAACCTAAAGATTATAAGTGGTAGACGGAGATGAACAAAGAAATTTATATATTTGTCCTCTTGTTTTTACAGGAAGTCATGCATCTGAGCACATCTGCACAAATATTTTAGTCTTCAATTTTCAACGGATGAAAATGAAATGGATTGTTGAATATTTACCCATCCCCCTTTCTTTTTCCCTCTCTTTTTCTCACTCTCTTTCTTAATCAAGCAATTTCATCATCCCTCCTCCACTCCCTCTCTCTCTCTCACTGCACACACACACCTAGAATAATTATCCCGATCTGTGGAAGAGAGTGTCCTTCTGTCTACCTGCAATGTCTGCATTAATGGCCTCTCTTTCCCACCTCTGGAGTCTCTACCTTTTTTGGATTAATTTCAGTTCGCCATTCTTTCTCGTTTTCTCTCAGAGGATTGTGCAGAGAAGCCTGTTGTACACCCACACACAAAATCTCCTGTCTCCGCCCTTATGTGTTACAATGAGAGATAATGGTTAAGAGACAGGATTTTGAAAATGAATGGCTTTACATTCCATAAACACATTAAAATGAGTTCTCTTTGTGCGTGTGTGTGTGCGTCTGTATGGGGAAATGTGACAAAAAGGGTATGGGAAACAGAAAATAGAGAGGGTAAGAGGGAGGGAAAGAGAGATGAACTACTTTGTGTCTGAGTGTGTTATTAAGCTTTGTGTTTTCCAAAACTCAGACACTTCCAACATTTTGCCAATGTGATTCTTCTTAGCTCACAATATAATGAAATGCAACTGACAGGCATTCTTCCTTACACATTTGTCATATCTCTAATTTCCATAATATCATATCTTCCTCTTTTTAAAATTTATATAGTAAAATATCTTAATTTTATTGCATGGCATAAAATGTCATATTATCATTTTTATTGTTATTATTATATCAAGAAATAGGGTTTCTTTCAACTATTTATCTATTTTAGGATATTTCAGCACTTTCAGTGACTCTTACAAAGATTTGTTGCAACCCAACTCAATATTCATTTGCTTACATTTAATTAGTTGAATTTCTAAACATTACATATAGCTACATAGTGGGAAACTACAAGAAAAGAATAAGCTTAACTCTGAGTCAGTTCTCACAAATAGGGTTTGCTTTAATTTGCCCATTTCAAACCTTAGAAACATTTGTAGCAATAGAGCTAATGTCCAGATGGAGAGCAGACATTAAATGTTTCTGAACGCAGTCAAATTTGAGACATCTGAGACTATTTGTATTTGAATTTGCTATCATATAGTTGTTCACAACAATCAATTTACCAATGGACACAAAATCTGTTATAATGTGGGAAAAATAAAGCAATAGAGCAGAAAGAGTAATGTCACATAACATGACATTGCACCACAAACATACCTCTGAATTTGGTATATATAGATTCAATAAAATCAATAAAACCTAATGACTGATGATGCGTTTTCAAAGCATACTAAATGAAAGGGACAGACAGTATTCTGTGGTATTCTGTGGTTGCCAGAAATTCACTGTAAAAAGTATTGTGACAGGGTTTCTACCGGATGGTATATTGGTGCCTGTATATTTTACAACTAGTATTTTAGAACCGTTTATTTCAAGTGATATTCTGTAGTTAGCTATTAGCTATTATACCAAACTGCTTTAACTATAAAAATCAGCTTTTTACCTTAAAATGTACTGATAACCACCATAATATATAGGTGGTACTAAAGAAAGGCACAAGATGAATTAAAGTTCATTGTAAGTGGCTTGTCTATAAAACATGGCCAATACTTGTATATAGACATTACACAGGGTCATACACGCAAAGGCAACACCCTCAGGGTAACACACATGACACTAAAATAATGCAATAAGTATTTACTAAATAACAGAAAATGTAACACAAAACATGCACTGCTGATAAATAACAATTATTAATATAAAAAAAATAATCACTAGTGATGTGTCAAGCAGTAACTTCTGGAAATGTCCTTTTACTGTTTTCACTATAAATCATATGGTAATTCATATTTTGTTTGCTGGCAAAAAACTGTAATTTACAGTAAAATGACAATGTTATGTTAAACCATTTACATTTTTTCCCTGTAATGGTAAAGTGACTTACAGTTATCAATTAACAGCTTTTTACTGTAGCATTTTTACAATGGTAAACAGAAGACAGTTGTAGATTAAAGCCTGGTACAACCTAATGGACAAATTTGCATTTCTAGCAATGTATCTGTGGGAGTGCCCCAAAAATGAACACTCATTATGGCCACCAGGACAGCATTGCTCCTCCCTGAAAGAGCGCCAGTGCATTTGTATACATGAATATATGTAAAGGCATCTGGAGGAGCTGAGAATATATGCGTGAATATAAGTGTCTGTGAGAACAAAAGAGAAGACAGACAGTCAGTATGACTGAAAAACACTCTCTCTCCCTCTCTTTAGCCCTCTCGTTCCATCACACAGACACAAACACACCCAGCTGTAAGGCTGCTTTCTGGTGACATACAGTATGTGTGAGGCATATGTTACACAAACATTGTCAGCATACCACCATTTTATTGGTAAACAAGAAAACTCAGTTTGGTCAATAAATAATCCGTGGATGTGCCATCGAACTCAGGAAAGCCTTCGGCAAGTCCCTCAGGAGCGCCCTGCTGCTTTTGCATCTTTTGTTCAAAAATTCTTCAATAAATAACTACTCTTTAATGAGCCTCTTTCTTTGGCGGAGATGCGTTTTCAGACATTTGCAGCCAAATGTCTTTTGTTATTTACAGCAGCTATTTTCATGCACGCCTGGCGTCGTTGATGTAAAATAACAGTAATTGCTGGATCGTTTGCAGGTTGTTTAGCTTGTGTACCGAGCCAGATGAGAACAGTTAATGAGCACAGCTTCCAGCGGCAATTAGTGAAGCAGTCGTGTACATCACAGATGATTTGCAATTAGCTAGCTACATATTATATACACTATGCCAGGAGTGCGATAGGCGCTTCGGTGTGTGTTTGTTGGAAGGTGGGGGTGGGGGATTGGCTGGGGAGAAGCTGTACGCAGGGATGAAGGGGACACGGGACGAGATGCTGGCGAATATTCACACCTATTCCTCATGGGAGACCTGTGCTTGAGGGAATTAGGCCACTCCTCCTTTATTCCATTTTACGTTATGATAATTGGCTTAATGGTCTGTTTCTGAGACAAAAATTATCCGTAGTTGTGCTGCAATGTGAGGCCTATGAAGCGAGGGAAGATATAATAGCATCGCATATATGCTAGAATGACATTTTTATAGTTCGGCCGTTATAATCGCAATCATTCGGTATGAAGAAAAATGCCTTTAAAGGTGCAAAATAATACTTA